ATTCACTACAGCAGCTTCCCATGGTTCTCCCTTGCGCTGCTTAGAGAGTCCATTGGTTGGGTTTTCCCTCAGCTGATTGGCCCAAAGACTGAGTTAAATTTGAATAAACACTCCTCCACTTTGCTGTAGTCCAAGAAATTGTGACTTAATTCACTACAGCAGCTTCCCATGGTTCATCAGTTCATCTATGGCAAACAACAGTGATCTTTATTGACTCCTATAAACGTTTATCCATTGTTTTAGTTTCTTTTTGAATTTTAAAATGTTCGACTCAAGGTCCTGGTTGTGATCTACTGTATATGTAGATGAGCCGAGGTGGCGCAGTGGTCAGAGTGCAGTACTGCAGCTACTTCAGCTGACTGCTAGTTCAGCAGAACAAATTTCACCAGCTCAAGGTTGATTCAGCCTTCTATCCTTCCAAGGTGGGTAAAATGAGCAGTGCTGTGGAGTCGGAGTCGGAGTCGGAGTTGAGGAGTCGGAGTCGGAAGAAATTTTGGGTACCTGGAGTCGGAGTCGGAGTCGGCAAACAATGCACCGACTCCGACTCCTACTAAATTTAGATTGGAATTTTAAAAAAAGCAAGTTTAAATGTCCCAATTCACAAAAAGTGAATACATTTGCATATTAATACAGAGGAGTCAGAGTCGGAGAGTCGGAGTCGGAGTCGGAAGTACAAAAAACTGAGGAGTCAGAGTCGGAGTCGGAGTCGGAACATTTATCTCCCGACTCCACAGCCCTGAAAATGAGGACCCAGATTGTTGGGAGCAATATGCTAATGCAATATGTTAATATGCAATATGCTATATGCTAACTTTGTAAACCGCTTAGAGGGCTGTAAAGCACTTTGAAGCGGTATATAAGTCTAACTAACTAACTAACTAACTAACTAACTAACAAATAAATAAATAAATATGCCCTAATTATTTATCTCCCGTGGTATCTGCCCAGTTGGGTTCCTTCGATTAAACAATATCGTCTGTGAAGACCCAGGGAGTGCGTCTTCTTTATTGAAGTGCCTGCCCCCTGGAACAAGGTACCTTCTGAGATGTGGATGGTTCTCATACTGCTGATGTTTCAGAGAGTCATAAAGACCTGCTTGGAGCCCCTTTCATGGAATGTTATAGATCAGTGTTGGCGAACCTTTTTGCCGCCGAGTGTCACCTGGTCTTCCAGTTTCTGACACCAGCCTGCACATGCAAAGACCAGCTAGCCAGCGTGCATGTGCATGCCAGAACCCGGAAGAGCAACGGGCGATGGCTGGCGTGCCCAGAGAGATGGCTCTGCATGGCACTTCTGGCACGCGTGCCATAGGTTTGCCATCATGGTTATAGATTGTCTGCCAGGTTCACCGTCTTGTTCCTTTTCTAATTTTTAAAGTTAGTCTTGTTGCTGTTGTGTATTAGTTCTTATTATATCATTCTAACTTATTTAGTATGCAGAACCTGCCCAGATTTGCTAGGAGTTGTATGGCATAAAATCAAACAATAACTAAACACGATCCCACATTAATTTCAGTATTCAACTAAATTGCATCTACAAGTTTATTTCTTCTTTATAAAATGTCACTTCCGGAGTTAAAACATTTGACACACACACACACACATATAGATTCATTCACATAAAATGTGTAATAGAAAATCCTCTGGATTAGTATGCAGAGATCCTTCGGTGTCTATCATCGCTTATTGTTTCAGAGTTTGCCTCACATGTAAAGCAAAAGCAGGTTTTATTTATTTGTTCTGAAAATATTATTGCACCAACCATGAAACCATTATTTTATGAACCAATAAAAATACAGTAGAAGAAGGTACAACTACTAAAAATTAATAATTACTCTGAAAACTGTAGTTATGACTCCTGACATTCAGAGATGACTAACCCATGACAAAATTAATGACGTTGTAGTAGCTTAAAAGAGCTACGAAGAGCTGTGAAGTTAACATTGCAATGGAAAATATTTCTGTTGAAGTATCAAATGTCAATATGCATGTGGAACCTTGATCACTATTTTAGTCACTGAAATTAGATTTGAATGCCAGCGGCTAATATAATCATAGTTCTTCACCCCACAGCAGAATACAGCCATTATGCAAAACTCTGAAATGAGGGTTATTTTTAGTCAACAAAAGAGTATCTCTTTACAAGGCTATAAAATGTTTTGAAATTCTGGATTACTTAACAATTAGATATTTCCTGATCCTGAAAACCAGGTCATATGAAGTGAATTTCATAATGAATAATGATATAGAAGGCTCAGTGTGGTTCTGTTTTAGCCTTGTGTCTCTTGAGAGATGATCGACATGTTGCCTTATTTGAGGATAAATTGCCTCTGAGAAATATTGCTCTTGGACTAAGAATGACTCAGTGCCTTGCTTTGACATTCTTGAATAGATTTGCCCAAAGTATAAAAGTTCATTTGGTCATGCACTTTCTTTTCTGAATCCATATTAAGTATGTCTCTAGACTCTCACATAACATAACTGACACAAGTAGATCTGAGATATGCCTTGAAGAAGACAAAGTGAGAAAACTGAACCTTCAGTTTAGGTACATTCTGGCTGGTTCTTGGGGCAAGACGTGACATCTGAATCATGGCAGGGAAGACATTTTGTTAATACAAGTTGTAAACGGAGAAAACATTGCCTACCCCTTCAATTTTCTGTTCCCAAGTAAAGAGTGTCTGAAGATGGATCGTGGCATTTGTCACAGCAATATAAACTATATAAGGAAAAAAGAAGTACAACTTTTTAAAGAAAACAAATAAGCACAGACCCAGCTATATAAATATATGCCCTTTTACAACATCACATTTCCCCCCGAATTGTGTTCTTCTATTATGGTAATCCAATGTAGCTTGTCTATGAAATAATATACCTAGGAACTTTGCAGTGGCTCATCTATAATATTCTGGTCTATGAAACTAATAAAGAATGATACTAAGAATATACTAATTCATATGCTGCAAAATACAGCAAATAAATAAATAAATAAATACCATGGAGCATGTAATTTCTGTGCATGAAAAAGATTGGGACCAGAGGAACAACAACCATAGTATTCATCTAAATCTTTAATTATAGCAAATTCTTACATTTTGTATTCTCTCTGAGTAGGGTCTGTGTGACACAGTAGTGGAATTTAGAATGAGCAGACTAGAAAGACTGGTGCTGCCAGACCTAGGTGGATTTCATGCAGGGGTGGGCTTCAAAAATTTTAGCAAGGGGTTCTCTGCCTGGTTGCTGGGTGGGCATGCACCATGGCAAGGGGTGTTTTTGCCCTCCCCGGGCGGAGATTTTGGTCGAGCCTCCAGGAGGGCGAAAACGGCCTCCCCAGGCTCTGGAGGCCCTCTGGAGGCGGGAAACGGCCCCGTTTCTGGCCTTCCCAAACTTCCGGTAGGCCCGTTTTTCACCCTCCCCGAGGCTCTGTGCATACCCTGCACTTACTTGCATCCAAAATGAGCTGTGTGGGGACTCCTGGGAGGGGCTGGGTGGGCTGGGCAGGGCGGGGCGGGGCCAGCCAGGAGTGGGATTGGGGGGTTCTCTGAACTGCACAGAATCTTAGTTAGAGGTTCTCCCGAACCCCTGAGAACCCCCAGCAGCCCACCCCTGATTTCATGCAGGGTCACAAAAGATGATCACGTGACCCTGGGACAGGCAATATTCATGAATATGAGACAGTTGCCAGGCATCTGAATTTTGATCATGTGACCACGGAGATGCTGTATAATGGTCATAAAGGTGAATGGTCATAAGTCAACTTTTTCAATTCCTTTGTAACTTCGAACAATCACTCAACGAACTGTTGTAAGTCAAAGACTACCTGTAATCCTCAAGTAAGAGAAATACTGCAAGGCATTAAAACAAAATGAAGCATTGTTGGTATGATACTCAGGGTTTGTTTGTTTTTTTCTTGTGACCTTTAATCCAGAAGGGTCCATACTTTTCATCATGCTGGTTAAATGTGTGATGCCTCGAGTCCAGGAACACAAAACACAGCACTTTGCCACTTAGGAATCTCTGCTCCTTTTAATATTAAAAGGTTGTATAATGTATTAGTGGAAATAGATTCGGAAACAGAGTTAGTCAAGGATTGTATGAAAAATGGGCACAAAATATAGGTGAACCAATAATGTTGGATACATGGGAAAAGATATGGGTCAGAAATGTAAGATTCACACAAGCTCAAAACTTAAGAGAGAACTTTTACAAAATGTTTTATAGATGGCATTTAGACCCCAAAAAATTAGCCTGCATGTATCCAAATTTACAACCTTTTTTACAAAAAGTATTGGCGATGTGAGTGTGAAGATGCTACATATTTTCATATATGGTGGACATGTAAAAAAATTAAGGCTTTTTGGATAAAAATATGGTGGATTATTCAAAATATTTTAAGGAAAAAAGTCAAATTTACACCACAGTTCTTTTTGTTGGGAATAGTCACGGATTGTACTGTAATAGAGACTAAGTTGGTTTTGAATTTAATAACAGCTGCCAGATTACTGGTGGCACAGTACTGGAAGAAGGAAGATCCACCTACCATTGAGGAATGGACTTTAAAAGTTGTGCATCTGGCAGAGATGGCAAAAATTTCATCATATCTTTAAAGATCATTCAAATGAAAGATACATATCAGAATGGAGAAGATGGATTGACTATATGCAAAAAAAGTATCCGAACAAGAAGATTCATATAGCTTATGAAAGAAATATTTTTAAGTAGTTTATGTTTATAGTTTTTGAGTTATAAGGAGTTAAAGATTTAGGGAGAATATGAATGCAATAATTTGTTAGCATATTTTAGCTTTATGTTTGTGAATGCTATACCCTGTGCCTGTTCTGGGAAGTCTAGGGAGGGGGTGGGGTGGGGAGGAGGGGAGGGGGAAAGGGTGGGGGGGGGGGGGAGAAAATGTTTGTATTTCTTATAAAACTTTTCAATAAAAAAAAAAAGGAATCTCTGCTCCAGGGCTCTTAAAAGAGAAAAGCTGTTCTTGTTTTGCAGCAACTCTATGCCGCTCAGTTGGCCAGCATGCAGGTATCGCCTGGCACCAAGATGCCTTCCACGCCTCAGCCGCCAAATACGACAGGGACGCTCTCACCAACTGGGATGAAAAACGAAAAGAGAGGGACCAGTCCTGTAACTCAAATTAAGGTATTGATTTAGTTTGTTCTCCTGAATATTCCAGCTGCATGCAGAGACCTCTTGATTCACTGTCCTTTAGCATTGCTTCATTTGACATAAGGATACTGTACATAAGGATGAATCTATATTATTACAGAGCTGTGGGGGCGCAGTGGTTAGAATGCAGTAGTGCAGACTAATTCTGCCGACTGCCAGCAGTTTGATTCTCACCGCCTCAAGGTTGACTCAGCCTTCCATCCTTCTGAGGTTGGTAAAATGAGGACCCAGATTGTTGGGGGCAATATGCTGACTTTGTAAAGTGCTTAGAGAAGCTGTAAAGCACTGGGAAGTCTAAGTGCTATTGCTATTATACAGAAAGAGGCCATCTGGATGAAACAAGGACACATTTTCCTCATTTTTAAAGGAACCGCTACTGTTGATATTACTGAAAGATGTGTTTGTCCTGACAGAATATATAAAAAAATAATTTTATTAACAAGAACATCTCTTTATACTTTAATTTCACTAAACTATTGACTGGTCATGCATGTTATCATTATTGTTGTTCAAGTTCTTCCTTTTTGCCCATAATACATTCAGGATGCTAACAGTAATCTTCATAATCTATCATGCCTGAGAGCTGCGCTAGTTATCAGTTAGCTTCCAGGTGCAATTTAAGGTGCTGCTTATTGCTTATAACGTTTATTATAGGTGCTGCCTTAATCAATGGGATCTGGAGTGTGCCTCTTCCAGTTGATCTCACTAGCTGGATCTGGAATGTGCCTCTTCCAGTTGATCTCACTAGCTGGACTGAAATAAAGACACATGGTCCCTTAAATAGCTCAGCCCTATACCATGAAGGTCTTTATAGGTGATAACCAACAGCTTGAACTGAATCCATGCAGTTCTCAAAATAGCAGAGATACATGAACATATTATGATACGCCTATCACTTCATGCATCATGCATTCTGGACCAGCTATAGCTTCTAATGCAGCTTCATGTAGAGCACATTACAGTAGTCTCATTATGAGGTGACCCAAGGCATGAATGAAGGGCATCCTGGTCATGGAAGGAAAGCTACTATTACACCAAAAGTACCTGTACAAAGATCTTCTTGGCCCTAGCTACTACCTGCTTTCTAAACAGTAGTTGTGAATCAGAAGGACCTCCAGTTTGGATGTCAATCTCATATGGGAAAGTGTAATACTATGAAGGATAAAAATCCCCCATTAAAAGGTCAGTTTGGTCTAATGGTTAAGGCTCCAAGGTAGAAAGCAAGAGACTGTGAGTTTAAGTCCCATCTTAGCCAGGAAAGCCAGCTGGGTGACCTTAGGCCAGTCACTGTTCTTCAGCCCAATTCACCTCACAATTGTTGTTGTAGGGAAAATAGGAGGAAGGAGGTGTGTTGGATACGCTTGCTATTTTGAGTTATTTGTACAAATAATAAAAGTGGGGAAATAGAAAAATTAAAATAAATAAAATAAAATAATAAAGTAAAGTAAAGTAAAGTAAAAATAAATTAATAATAATAATAATAATAATAATAATAATAATAATAATAATAATAATTAATAAAAATAAAAAATAAAATAAAATAAAATAAAAATAGAATGCACCCAGAACTGGGCTGGGTGGCAGGGAAGGGACAAACAAAGCTGTTTGGTTTTTACAACAATTCTAATTAGGGTTAAAATAGAACCTAAATAACTGTAATTTTATTTGTTTTGGGAGCTAAGCTTCATTTACACTATGTTACTTACAACAATTATTATAGATCTTATATATTTTATTCCTATTTACTGAGTTTGTGAGCTGTTACAGAATTGGTATTCTGTAACAGTATATAACCCCAGTACATACATACAGTACATACTTAGGCTCTAAATATTTTAAATCATTATAACCTTGTTCAAACAATTTAGAAAGGTAGGTCTTGTTTCCCTTCCTGAAAAAAGAAAGAATACAAAAGCAGCTCTTGGACAAGTCCATGGATACAACTTGATACAAAGAAGGGGAAAGCTCTCCCCCATGTTCCTGCTGATCTCAAAAAAAGAGCTCATCCTTCTCTAGAGATTGCTGTTTGGACAACTTTATATCAAGAGAATCAGTCCTTCAGATAGTTAGACCAGTAACTCAGGGAAGAGATATATTTGACAAATCAGGTTCCCCCAAATCTTCTAATGGACTGCAGAAAGTCAATGATGTCACTGGCAGGACTGGGCTGTATTGAAGTTTGGGACCTTTCTTCTCCCAATTTTGGAGGAGTTTAAGGATTGGAATAGTAATCATTGGTCCTATCTCCTTCCTTAAATCCTCCCAGAAATACCCGAAAGTTCACTGCCTTGTTTACAAAAATCATAGAGGCAGAATATAAATTATGGTAAATAAAGTTGCAGTAAATCAAGATCGGAGGTTCTTTTTATGGTTGGGGTGGAGTGGTTTGCCTTCTTGATGTTATGCATTGCTATTGTCACCATTAAATCCCAGATAAAAAGATTACAATGGCAATTGCTGGTCTTTTGAGAAACTGTTGAGGGATTATAAAGGGGAATTGGGGAGTCCTCAATCAGAATCCCTTCCTGTCTTTAATTTTAAAAAAAAAAACTCTAGAAGAAAAGATCTAAACACAATGCAATAAATAACTTTTGTTTTATTTGACTAACTAAGGAAAAGTTCTTCATTTCATTCAATATGTACTATAGTTGTGCAAAGACCTTGGATGTCTTCTAGACAAAACACCTGCACGAGCAGGAGACACTATATCAGTGATGGCGAACCTTTTTGTGCCAGGAGGGCGGGAAGTTGCATATGCGCCCCACCCCTAAGCATGCGTGTGTGATCCACCCCTTCCCCCCACTCCTGGCATGTGATGGCCCATTTTTCTCTCTCCCCAAGCTCCAGAGCCTTTCTAGGAAGTTGGCAAACAGGCCATTTCCTGCCTCCAGAGAGCCTTTGGGGGGGGGAAGGCTGTTTTTGCCCTCCCCATGCTCCTAGAAAGGCTCTGGAGGCTGGGGAGATAGAAAAGAACGGGCCTTCCCCACTAACACCCCAGGCTTTCCAGAAGCAGGAAAAGCCTGTTTCCCTACTTCCAATGGGCCCAGAAGGCCCAAAAATCAGCTGGTCCACGCGCACATGCGCTCCAGATCTGAGCTCACATGCCCTCCAATATGGCTACGTGTGCCACAGGTTCGCCATCACAGCCCTATATCATTCTCAACACATGGCTGTCCAATCTCTCAATCATTCATTATATGATTTAGCCTCTATACTCTTTATCATCTTCGTTGCTTTTGCCTGAACACTGTCTAGATTCTCAGTATCTTTTTTGTATCATGGTGTGTATTCCAAGTGATGCCTTACTAGTGCAGTATACAGTGGTACCATCACTTCTTGTGAACTTGATGCTATTCCTCTGTTGATGCAGTTTAGGACTACATTGGCTTTTTTGGCAGCTGCAGCACATTGGTGATCGATTAGGACACCTAGATATCTCTCACATACTACTGTTAAGGCAGGTGCTACCTATTCTTGTTTTTTTGTTTCTATATCCAGAACTTTGATGCCAAAATCATCCATAGCTATTCCCAGAATGATACTATTTCTGGGAAGCAACATTTTATTTGGAGACGTGGAGAGATCAATAGAATGAACAAATGTTGTGGTCTTGAATTTCCAGAATTTGATCAATCCTTCACTTCCTATTGTGATTGTAAATTGGTTGAGTCCATCCACTGCTACACCTCTTATGTAGCCTTCATGAGATTTTTCTTCACCATAATGTCCTCTGTGAATACCAGACTGCATATTGTATTTATCCACCTGCCCTGTTGAAAGTCCAATTACCGCAAAGTTTCCACAAGAAGTAATGTCTACTGCTGTTGCATATATACCAAGAGATTTATTTTTGCTTATGTCTTTTGGTTTCAGTTTATGGATTCACATTGAAGATTTCTGATAATTCCAAGTAGTACAAGTTACATATCCTTGATGGCAAGCAATGATACATCCCAGTCATTTTGACGGGCCACCTCTGTTGCAAATGTTGTAATGTGGGTAGTGCCATTGTGTCATTACGAAGTCCTTTCTTTTTTGATTTTTTCTTACTTATCAAACCACGTCCTAAACTTTTATTGAATCTTTCGTGCACTGTGGAAAGTGATTGTAAAGTACCATCTTGACTAGCACTAAGAATCTTCTACACGTTTTGCCCATGATGTTGGATTTTTGTTGGAGGTGCACTATATCCCATTCGATATCTTAGCAGTCTACCGCTTCCTCCAGGGAAGTGAACATTATCCAGGGAAGTATATTCTGTACCTATCCATTTGATTTTCCTGCCTAAGTCCAGGACCTTACTTTTCTCACCACTGATTTGCATCTTCTTCAAGGACCCAGTGTTCAAGTCTGTCAAGATCCTTCTGAATTTTGAGTCTGTCTTCCAAAGTGCTAGCCCCAGCTTGTTGTTTGCAATTTGGATGAATTCTCCTTCTATCCTCTCATCTAGATCATTTATGAAGATGTTGAAGAGCACTGAGACCAAGACAGAATCTTGAACTACCCCACTGCATACCTCCCTTTATATAGATGAGGTTGAGGTTCACTGGGTGCAGTTCGTCAGCCATCTGGTGGTGGTACTGTTTATCCCACATTGTCGTATCTTATCAAGAAGTAGGCTGTGGTCTGTTTTGGTCTACTTTGTCAAATGACTTACTGAAGTCTAAATATACTATATTTGAACTTTTAACTTTGTTCTGCCTCCTGTACTTCTTTTATTATTCCCATCTAGGGGGATTCTTCTGGACATGCTCATGCTCACGATGGAGAATTTGGAAGCATAATATTTTTTGATATTAATACAATTAGCTGATTACCCCCAATCTTCAGGTTTGAGTTGTCCATTTCCTTTGCATCAGCATCATAGGTTTTTACTATTTGCTTGATAAATGACATAAGAAAAATAGAGAGATTTGTGAATAGGTTTAAGTGAGTGATTTTGGAAAAGGTCTGGTAGATGCAGCCTGAGGCAT